ACTTCTCAAACTGATTACCAACATAATTTTATTATCCAAATGAAAAAAAACACATATTTATATCTATAAGAAAAATTACCTGACTATAATAATAAACCCTATTTTTTGAAAAGTTCATTATTTACATATTACCTTTCAAAGGGATGTGTATGTCGGTTTGATGAAAAAAACTATTTTCAAATTATTCAAATTATCCAAATGTATGATGATGCTTATAACTTACAATTTCTGTTTTCATTTCCTTTAAATATTCCCTGCCCCAGAAAACCTATAAAGGCAAATTTTCAGAAATAAAAAAAAATGTGTATCTTCGCCACGCATTCAATAAGTAATTAGTCTATGAACAGGTATGTCCTCCTTCCAGATGCTCAGCCTTCCACTAGCTTCTTCAGATTTATTAGTAATGAACACAACAGAAATTCTTGCCTTCAGGGAGTTTCAATTTTAGAAAGATTAAACAATAAACTATAATTTAAAAAGAAACACAAATTTCATTGTATTTTTAAAGCTGTTAAGTGCTGTGGAGAAAGGGAACAGCATAAAGGAGAGAGGAAAAAGAGGAGGTTTCCATTTTGAATCATGTGGTCACCAGGGTGGGCTCCACTAAGAAGATGCCTTTTCAGCTAATGAAACTTTAGTTTTACATCAAGTGAGGTGAAGGCTTTTAAGCAGAGGAATAATTTTCTTTTCTTACTACTCAATAAGAATTGAGTGTCAAAAAGAGTATCAATTTCATTTAAGAGTGTGGAGGTAGTATTATCAAAAATGTGTTGGGGGTAAGCTATACAACCACCACTGTATCCCAGATCTGGGACCCAAGGCAAGCGCTGAAGTGTGAAGATGCCATCTATCCCTCAAAGGGCTGTTCCCTCCACAGTACGCCTCCATATTGACTGTCTTCACGCGCCAAGAGTCCCTCATCCACATTCCCAATGCTGAATACCAAGAAGCTTTAAACCCAATTTGGTGGCAAAATCAAACCCACATTCATGTGAGACGGTTTATAGCCTTGATTTATCCCATTTGGCGAAAATAAACATGAAGAAACATTAACCCTCAAAATTTAGGTAACTTTTAAATATCCTAAGCAATGAGAAGTCATAGGCACATCTATATGTACACACACAAACTATCTGCAAACTCCCCTATTTTATTGAATATAGTGGAGTTGTATCATATAGCAATCTATCACATTCAATTAAAACAGCCATGCTTTTAAAAAAAGAAAAACACACTTCCCCCAAAAGTAAAATTCTACCTAGTATAACTTGGAGTAAGATGGAAAATATGAATCTACTGCTACAGATTTGGATTTTATAGTTTAAAGATACGTATCTGTCATTCGACATGTCCCCTAAACACTGGCTAATTGATTTCTCTGATGTTCAAGCAAAGAAAATGCTACTTATTCCAAAACAGAAGGAAAAATAGGCTGTTTGAAACTTACTTAAAGAGAGTACTTCAGCATTTGACATGGCCCCTTTCTCTGGGATTTTTAAGGGTGATTTTAACTAGTCATGAACCTGACTGAAGCACTGTCTTTTAAAAACCCAAAATGTAACTCTATAGCTGTGCTGTCTAATATAGCAACCACTAGACACATGTGGCTCCTGTGCGCTTGAAAGATGACTAGTCAGAATTCAGAGAGCCGTGAGTCAAAGCACACACCAGGTTTCAAAAACTCAGTATAGATTTACATTCATTTTGCATGCAAAATATCTCATAATTTTTTATTGATTATTCACTGAAAGGATAACATTTTGCAGATACTGAGTTAAATCAAACATATTATTAATTTCACCAGTTACTTTTAACCACAGCTACTAGAAACTTTAACATTTAAAATGTAAAGTTACATAACGTAGCTCACATTATACTTCTAGTGAACAGCACTGCTCTATAGGAAAGACCTAGAAAAAGATTAATTTCTCAAATACTTATCTGCTAGAATGAATAATATCAATTTTTATCACCAGAATAATAAAAACACAAAGGTCACAAGAAACACTTGTCAGGAATGCTGAAATAAGGGTTTTGTAACTCAAAAGTATCTATTACTTTAAATATTCAGAGAGGTGTCCAAATATTCAATAATTTTAAAAAGCCTTCAATATGTGTTATGTCTGATTTGCTTCAAAATCCACTTTCAGTATTTCAATCATACGATCACAAGTACATAGAGCAGGGTTTTGTGTCCCAGTTTCCTTCACTAGGGTTAGAACAAACCCAGGTTTTGTGAGCCAAACACATATTATAATGGAATCAGAAAATAGGTAACTTATTTTTTAACAGATGGGAAAATTTAAATAACTCCTAAGAAACAACTTTGGAGTTTACACTAGGTCAAAGAAAAATAAGTCTCTCTAATTATAAAACCTACCATTAACAAAAGACACACTGATTGACATTTCCTAAATATTCTTAAAAGCACTCTAAGTACCTATTACTCTAAACACATGCACGCCCCACCACTCAGCAGCAGTTCCATTACCGTGCTTACACTGTACTCGTGAGAAATGAATGTTTATTTCTACCAAAAGATCCAAAAAAGTTCACAGCAGCCTTATTTGTAGCCACAAACTCGAAAGAAAACTAAACGTCCATTTACAGTGGAATGGATAAATGGTGGTATAATCATAGAATAGAACACAGACAATTTAGGGGGAAAAACAAGTAACGTGCACAACATGGATGACTCTTACAGACATAATGTTGATTAAAAAAACACAGACACGCAAGAGTTCATATGACATGCTTCCAACTTTATACAGTTTAAAACAGGCCAAACTAATCTATTGCAGAAGATGCCAAAGACTAGTTTCTGCTGGGTACAGGCAGGATTGATTAGAAAATACACAAATATAATAAGCCTTCTGGAGTAGGGTGCTAGTTACTCAGACTATACTTATATAAAAAACAATCAAGTTAACAAATAAGGGTGTCTGTTTGATTACGTGAAGTTACACTTCAGTAGGTTTTGTATAAAAAGAAGAAACTTTTTCTTAAAAGGACCTTATGCATTACGATTCCTTTTCAAAATAATTACTTAAAACTAATTCTTACCTTGAATATACATGAGAATTTGTCGATTTAATCCTTCAGCTAAACTTTTAATTTCTTTGCAGTTTCTTTTTAATAACTATCAACTCTATTGAAACATACATTTAATTCTGAGATATGACATTTCATGAATTGATAATTCATATTATCATTAAAATTACAACTTCCATCTTTAGAGCTAAGTGTGAATGTTTATACGAAATATTTATAATAGTTCATTCTCATCTTTAATTTGAAAAGATAACTCTAAATTCCATAAAATCCAGTTTCTGATTATATAATTTATTTTACTGGATAAAGTGTATATTAAATTTAACTTATTTTGGGGGTTCATTTACAAGTCCTTTCACAGACCTAATTTGCTTGTTTAAATTTCTTACTTGCTTTTGCCTTTCCCTCGTAACTGACAAGAAGAGGAAGAATATGCTGGTTTGCCAATAAATAATAATCTTAAACACAGAATTTCCATTTTAAAAGTTCAATGCAGCGTGCTGGGGAGACTTACTAAAAGACTATGTTCAACTAATCCTAGAAATTCACACTGCTTGATGGTGATTAAGAAAATCTGTAAAAACTGACTTTTGTGTTATTTCATATGAATAAAAATCATGAATATTCAGCTAATAAAGTTAAATCTGTATTACAGTAAAGTTAAATCTGTATTACAGTAAAAGAAGGTGGCCAATTCACTACAATCTTAACAAATACATTATTTTATTAAATGTATTTATGCATCCTTCCTTCATCTGTTTCTATTCCAAGCAAGACAGCTGGCAAAAGTTTTCGAGAAGGAAAACACAAGATACAGAGGAGGTATGAGGTTGAACATTAAGAAGGATGCCTTGGATATAGATCAAGAAGACTATGTTCACCACTGACATTAGTCAAATTGGCTGGCATATCCATATGTGGTCTATGAAGTATGCTATGGTCTGAATGTTGTATCTCCCCAAAATTCATAAATTGAAACCATATTTGCAATGTGAGGGTGATTTGGAGGTGGGGACTTTGGGGAGTGATTAGATCATGAGGGGAATGCCCTTATGAACAGGATTAGTTCATAAAAGAGGTCCCAAGAATCCTCTGGCCACCTCCACCCATGTGAGGTTACAGCAAGAAGTCAGCCGTCTATGAGGAACAGGCCCTTACTAGACATTAAATCTCCTGGCACCTTGGTCTTGGACTTCTCAGCCTCCAGAACTGTGAGAAATAAACTTCTGTGGTTTATAAGCCTCTGCATCTATGGTATTTGTTACAGCAGCTCAAATGGACTAAGATAAGACAAAGCACAAAGTGAGTAAATTTCTCAAAAGATGATTTTAACATAACCTTCCTTCCTAGTAATACATCGCATGTCCTGACACTCTGGGTCTACAAGCAGATAAATTATTATGCTGTTCCAGTCTATCCACAAATGATCATGCAAAGAGGGAACTCAGCAAATGGATGTTCAGAGGCAAAACCAGGTGGCCTGGCTGAGTCTGTCCATGGACCCTGATGATAGACTGATCCAAATGCAGATGGCGGCTGATCCCTACACTAGAAGGTAGAGCTGTGGCAGGCAGGAAGAATTTTAAGACTGCCTGAATGTTTCAGGTATACTTCACACTGTCTTAGGTAAAAAGGAACTTTCTGTATCTCATTTTCAAATCAAGACATTCTTTAAAATAGTTCTATACTAGTAAGGTAAAATGTAAATACCTCGTGTTTAAAATAGGTAAAACTGGTTTACTCTAAACCAGACGTTTTATTCGATTACACAACATTTTGATTTACCAAAATTGAAATATAACCTTCTTTGTGACAAATGGCAAAGTAGTTTATCAATATCTAAAAATTAAAGAAAAATAACAAAATGTGACACAACAGTCTTACTTTTCTACAATTGGAAAGGCTTGATGACATTTAAAAAAGTGGGGCAATGAGACAAAAGACAATACCTTCTGGCCGTGTTTCTCCCAAATGTTAAAATAATGAGTCCTGAGAACAGAGTTCTGAAATAGCTCACAATCCAAACACTTCCTGAAAATTAAGAGAAATAAGTGTTACTTCAAGTGCACCTTATCTCAAAGAGTTGTTTTACAATGGAATTTTAATTACTAACTAAATCATCTCAAAAAACAACAAAAAGATGTATTACAAGGTAAAAAAAGTATTCATATTCTTCATGATACATGCTTTCTTTGGACACAGTTGTAGACCACATGTAACCGAACAACATTTATTACAGAATTATTTGCCAAAATACACTACCCCCCCTTTTTTTTTTTTTTGAGGTGGAGTCTCCCTCTGTCACCCAGGCTGGAGTGCAATGGCGTGATCTCAGCTCACTGCAACCTCCCTCCGCCTTCCAGGTCCAAGCAATTCTCCCACCTCAGTCTCCCAAGTAGCTGGGATTACAGGTACCCAGCACCACGCCCAGCTAATTTTTGTATTTTTAGTAGAGATCAGTTTCTGCCATGTTGGCCAGGCCGGTCTCAAACTCCGGACCTCAGCTGATCTGCCTGCCTCAGCCTCTCAAAGTGCTGGGATTACAGGCGTGAGCCATCACACCCGGCCAACTATCCATCTGTGTTTATTTTACTGTAAAGACTGTCCCTATTGTCGATGATGTAAAAAGTTAATGTCAAAGATAAAGAGGAATTTCAGTCAAGGCTTCTGGGAGAAAAAGTATTAGAATTATTTAACAGTCTCTGCACAGTTTGAAACACCTCATTTCTTTTCTGTACCACTCGGAACAGAAAATGTTAAGCTCAGAATTAGAACCATACCAGATACAGAATGACACTGACGTGGAAAAGTTCATACTACCAGGAACAAAAGAGTGGATCAAAGTTTTTGACCAGCAAGGGATGGAGCAAACAATTTAACATTTAAGAAATTGTATTTCAGTCAACAGGCCAATGGACAGTGCCTGAGTACCATGCTGGTTGGTACAGGATGTCAGACAGCGACTGGTACCAGAGTCCCAACTCATCTGGGTAGAAAGGACACCTACCACCCAGCCAGGCTGATTGTCTGGGCTGGGGGGATTAGGAGAGCATTGAAATAGACACTGGAGGAGTCTTAGTGATGAAGAACTGACAGTGAATGAGTGGATGAGAGAGAGTGTGCATGTGTGTGTAGTAGTAATTAAAGGCATATTTTTTCATTGCAGTTGGTCCATCTAAAACTACCGTCTTCTCTTTTATGATATTATTTTTACTTAAGCTTGGCATGTTAATTGATTAAGGCTCTATGATTAATTGATGTCATTTATCAGATATTTACGGAGTATCAGCTGTATACCTTGCACCATGCGGGGTATTGAGGGTTCACAGACACAGGCAGAATAACAATAAGCAAGATACAGCCTAAGTGATCTACAGGTATAGTGGTGAAGAGCCTGCTTGGTTAGGATGTCGGGGAAGTATTACTCTAAGAAATTTGTTACCTTTATGTGGTTTTAAGGAGATTGAAGGGCCCCCAGTAAAATGAAATGAAATGAAAAAGAGCTATTTTGGGAGGTTAGAATTCAGGTTTACAGATTTATTTTTATTGAAAGCTATAATCCTTGAGAACTGATCACAGGTTATAGGCTAGGAATTGAGAGTTCTAGAAGTGTAAGTCAGATCTAAGTGGCGTGCCCGATAGAAATGGAATGCTGCTATGGTGGTATCAGGGAGTTTGCATGGTACCTCCCTTATCACCAGTAGCTTCACTGTCCATTGGCCTGTTAGCATTTTACCCACAGTAGAACATCTTTCAAGATGGGAGTCAATCCTCTCAAACCCTGCCACTACTTTATCAATTAAGTTTACATGATATTCTATATCCTTTGTTGTTATTTCAACAATGTTCACACAGTATCTTCAATCAGGAGTAGAACCCACCAAAGTTATCCATAAGGGGTGGAAGCAGCTTCTTTCAAACTCCTATTAATGTTAATATTCTGACCTCCTCCCATTAATCACAAATATTCTCAACGGCATCTAGAATGGTGAATCCTTTTCAGAAAGTTTACAACTGCCTTCGCCCAAATCCATCAGAGGAATCACTACTTATGGCAACTATAGCTTCACAAGATGTATTTCTTCAATGGTAAGACTTGAAAGTTGAAATTACTCCTTGACCCACAGGCTACAGAACAGATGCTGTATTAACAGCCATGAAAATTAACATTGATTTCCTTGTGCATCTCCATCAGAGCTCTTGAGTGACCAGGTACACAGTCAATAAGCAGTAATATGTTGATAGAAATCTTTTTTTTTTTCTGAGCAGTTGATCTCAATAGGGGGCCTAAAATATTCAGCAAACCATGCTGTAAACAGATGTTCTGTCATCCATGCTTTTTCTTCCATTTATATAGCATAGGTAGAGGAGATTTAGTATAATTCTTAAGGGGCTTAGGATTTTTGGAATGGCCAAACATTGGTTTCCACTTCAAGTCACCAGCTGTATAATCCACTAACAAGAAAGTCAGTTTGTCCTTTGAGGTTTTGAGGCCAGGCATTGGTTTCTCCTCTCTAGCTAGTAAAGTCCTAGGTGGCATATTCATCCAACGGAAGGCTGTTTCATTTACACTGAAAATCTGCTATTTAATGTAGACATCTTCATCAGTGATCTTACCTAGATCTTCTGGAAGCTTGCTGTAGCTTCTACATCAGCATTAGCTACTTCATCTTGCACTTTAATGTTATCCAGGCAGCTTCTATCCTTAAACTTCATGAACAAACCTCTGCTAGCTTCCAACTTTTCTTCTGCTGTTTCTTCATCTCCCCTCAGCCTTTGTGGAATTAAAGAGAGTGAAGACCCTGCTCTGGATTAGGTTTTGGCTTAAGGGAATGTTACGGCTGCTGTGATTTTCTATGCAGACTACTAAAATATTCTCCATATTAGCAATAAGGCTGTCTATTAGTCTGTTCTCACACTGTATGAAAAAATGCTCGAGACAGGGTAATTTATAAAGGAAAGAGGTTTAATTGACTCACAGTTCCTCATTGTTGGGGAAGTCTCAGGAAACTTACAATCATGGCACAAGGTGAGGGGAAAGCAAGGCACCTTCTTCACAAGGCAGCAGGAAGGAGAAACGCCGGGCAAAGGGGGAAAAGCCTCTTATAAAACCACCAGATCTCGGGCGGGCGCGGTGGCTCATACCTGTAATCCCAACACTTTGGTAGGCCAAGGCGGGCAAATCACAAGGTCAGGAGATCGAGACCATCCTGGCTAATACGGTGAAACCCCGTCTCTACTAAAAATCAAAAAATTAGCCAGGCATGGTGGCGGGCTCCTGTAGTCCCAGCTACTCAGGAGGCTGAGGCAGGAGAATGGCGTGAACCCGGGAGGCGGAGCTTGCAGTGAGCGGAGATCGCACCACTGTACTCCAGTCTGGGCAACAGAGCAAGAGGCTCCGTCTCAAAAATAAATAAATAAATAAATAATTAAATAAAACCATCAGATCTCATGAGAACTCACTATCACGAGAACAGCATGGGGGTAACTGCCCCTATGATTCAATTACCTCCACTGGGTCCCTCCCAGGACACATGGTGAGTATACGAACTACAATTCAAGGTGAGATTTGGGTGGGGACACAGCCAAGCTACATCAGGCTGCTTTGTGTTCTTATCATTCATGTGTTCACGGGAGTAGCACTTTTAATTTCCTTTAAGAACTTTTCCTTTTACATTCACAACTTGGTCAACTGGCACAAGAGGCCTAGCTTTCAGACAAGTTTGGCTTTTGACATGCCTTACTCACTAAGCTTAATCTTTTCTAGCTCTTGATTTAAAGTAAGAGACCTATAACTTTTCCTTGCACTTAAATACTTAGAAGCCATTATAGGGTTATTAAATGGCCTAATTTCAATACTGTTGGGTCTCAAGGAACAGGGAATCCCAAGGAAAGGGAGATGAGATGGGGGAACAGCCAGTCTGTAAAGCAGTCAGACCACACTTAACAATTAAGTTCACCAACTGATATGGGCACAGTTTTTGGTACCCCAAAACAATCACAATAGTAACACCAAAGATCACTGATTACAGATTACCGTGACTTATATAATAATATGAAAACGTTTTAAATATTGTGAGAATTATCAAAATGTGACCACAAAGACACAAAGTGAAAACATGCTGTTGAGAAAATGGTACTTGCTCAACGCAGGGCTGCCACAAACCTTCAATTTGTAAAAAACAAAATTATCTTCAAAGAGCAACAAAGTGAAGCACAATGAAAGGAAGTATGCCTACACACCAGCAACACCAAAGCTATACTACATCATTAACAGGGTATGTCACCTATGTGTATAAGTCAAAGATACCTGGAATCGTAACTACGGGCAGCATGTTCCAAAATCTTAGTTGACAGAAGGCATCTCCTCAAGATAGAGTTTATAACTATCAGACAACAACAAACAGAACCTGAAGAGACCTCCAGGTGATTAAGAAAAAAAAAAAAAAAAGCATTATCATTTCCTATTAGGACATTACTTTTTCAGGAGCTAAATAAAAACATTACCAAATCATTTTATGTAATAAAATTTAACTTTATTTTGACCTTTCTCATAAAGCAAATAAACCTCTCTATCCAATAAGGTTTCATCTGAACTATGTAAGATGATAGGCAATACCTTAATTGCATTCATTTACATGACTTTGAAACTATTCTGGGCTGAAGTCACTGACTGCAAGGTCACAGAATACAAAAAAGTAGAATGCATGTAATTTACCAAGGAGAAATGATCCACTTAGACAGTGTGGCAGCACCTTTTCCATCCTTCATTAGGGGATACTAAATACTTAATGCAATCAACAGGTGCAGACATCTCCATTTAAAATATATCACACAAATACATACACACACACACACACGTATTCATTTTACAAATATGTAAATAACATTAAAATATATATTTAAGTCCATCATATATTATGGTTTTCTTCTTAAAATTAATCTGCCTAAATAGAGGTAAAGCACAATTCTACACCCTAATAGCATTTAGAATCAAAATACAATATAGGGCCACTATTTTTCCATTGTCT